TAACCCAGGCTCCCCAAGTGTATCCATAGATCGCCAACTACCCAGGCTGTCCTGTAGTTTATGTCTTGGTAGCCTTAGTGAACCAGTTCACTAAGTGTTCCCAGTCATGTCTTGGTAGATTCAATAGGACAGTGTTATTGAATGAGGGCATTCCAAGAAGTGTAGCCGTCTGGAATCGCTGTAGTTCAAATGCTGGACAGCTGCATTGCCTTCCATAGTAGTAGTAACATAAAGGTAACCTAGGCTCCCCAAGTGTATCCATAGATCACCAACTACCCGGGCTGTCCTGTAGTTTAGTTCTTGGTAGCCTTAGTGAACCAGTTCACCAAGTGTTTCCAGTCATGTCTTGGTAGATTCAATAGGACAGTGTCATTGAATGAGGGCAGTCCAAGAAGTATAGGTGTCTGGAATCGCTGTAGTTCAAATGCTGGACAGCTGCATTGCCTTCCATAGTAGTAGTAACATAAAGGTAACCTAGGCTCCCCAAGTGTATCCATAGATCACCAACTACCCGGGCTGTCCTGTAGTTTAGTTCTTGGTAGCCTTAGTGAACCAGTTCACCAAGTGTTTCCAGTCATGTCTTGGTAGATTCAATAGGACAGTGTCATTGAATGAGGGCAGTCCAAGAAGTATAGGTGTCTGGAATCGCTGTAGTTCAAATGCTGGACAGCTGCATTGCCTTCCATAGTAGTAGTAACATAAAGGTAACCTAGGCTCCCCAAGTGTATCCATAGATCACCAACTACCCGGGCTGTCCTGTAGTTTATGTCTTGGTAGCCTTAGTGAACCAGTTCACCAAGTGTTTCCAGTCATGTCTTGGTAGATTCAATAGGACAGTGTTATTGAATGAGGGCAGTCCAAGAAGTGTAGCCGTCTGGAATCGCTGTAGTTCAAATGCTGGACAGCTGCATTGCCTTCCATAGTAGTAGTAATATAAAGGTAACCTAGGCTCCCCAAGTGTATCCATAGATCACCAACTACCCAGGCTGTCCTGTAGTTTAGGTCTTGGTAGCCTTAGTGAACCAGTTCACCAAGTGTTTCCAGTCATGTCTTGGTAGATTCAATAGGACAGTGTTATTGAATGAGGGCAGTCCAAGAAGTATAGGCTGTCTGGAATAGCTGTAGTTCAAATGCTAGACAGCTGCATTGCCTTCCATAGTAGTAGTAACATAAAGGTAACCTAGGCTCCCCAAGTGTATCCATAGATCACCAACTACCCGGGCTGTCCTGTAGTTTAGTTCTTGGTAGCCTTAGTGAACCAGTTCACCAAGTGTTTCCAGTCATGTCTTGGTAGATTCAATAGGACAGTGTCATTGAATGAAGGCAGTCCAAGAAGTGTAGCCGTCTGGAAACTCTGTAATACTGGACAGCTGATATGTTCTACGGTTTGATCTTCCTCCTGGCAGTGTGGACATGTTGGATCAGGGACTTGTTTAATTCTGTCCATGTCGCCTTGAACATGTCCTGATGTCGTGGTTGATGTTCCTCTAGTTGTATTTTTCTGAGGTTCTTTTTAAGATGGTCGGGAGAATTTTTATTTATAAAATACCAGAGAGGTAAAGAAGGAAGTTTTTAAAGAGTAGCAAAATATAATGCAATAAAATTATAAAAATATCTATACAGAAAATAATAAATAGTGTTTGCTATGCACATTAGGTAAGATTTAATATTATAACTATAAATATGTAAAACTCGATCATCGTATGCTTTTTATTCTTTCTACATGATACACACATTTAAAAATAAATAAAAGGGAATGTTAATATTTTTATACAGATAATTGATTTGCATTAATTTTGTCTAATATGCAAAATATATTAATGAATCTAAAAAAAAAAAAATTCGTAATCATTAAATTTGAATAAAAAAGAGCGTATTTTCATAGAGTAATAATTTTTGTTATTCTCATATTGAAAAAAAAAAAAAAAACATTATTTTTTTTAAATATGGAATAAATTTATTTCAATATATATTTTTTTTAATAAAGAAGATTTATGTAAATAATTATTAAAAAGTCAAACGAACTCTGCACTATTCGCCTGCCGTGTAAATCTATTAATAAAAATTTAACGAGAGCGGGAGATAAAAAGCCGTCGGCAACACGGCACCATCAACCAATCAGAAGCCAGCAAGGCATCCTGGGCGTCTGCTGGGTTTATCTTAGCCACTTTGCGCCGTGCGCCGTTCCAGAAGGTACGTCTGCCTTTTTATTCTCTCTTTTTCCTTTCTCCTCAGGTCAGTAGGTGATCGTCTGACCCATTCTATTTACATCTTTCCCTTACACATTCTATTTATATATATATGTCATATTTTTAATGTTTAAAACACGTTTAAGTTTATTTACAAGTTTTGTTTGTAAACATATTAGTAAACAAACTGTCTGAGTTGTTTATAAGTAGATCCTTTAGATATTTTAGGATTTTAGAAGTTAAAATTAAACCATTAAATGCATATATATGCATATATGCAACAATGTATTAAAAAGCACGTTGCAGACGAAAATTTTAAAGCATACACGAATACTTTTTAAAAACTAAATGCACATTATAAAAAATCGTTTTTAGATATGAAATGACACATGTGTATCTCTTAAGAATATTTTATATAGCTTTTTTATTTGCAAAAAGTACTTTTTAAAATCAATAATACGTAATTAAATAGTGTGAATGAGAATTTATTTAATTTTACTGCTTTTTTTCGCTATGGACGTATCTTTTCTTGTCCGACAACTTTGAAAGTCAATAAGTAATTGAAATCTATCTTCTGGTTAATATTTCATTCTTCTTCTGCTTATCCCTAATATACGTGGTACTGGCCATGATAATCATGGTGGGTAAAAGTAGGCGACTGCTTTTACTGTATGTACACCACATATCTACACATGTGAAAAGCAGTTCTGACTTTGCACTTACAAATATGCCAGAGCCCTGTTTAATATTTCATGATAGAATTTTGTGAGTGTTTCTTATCACGTAAATAAATAATGGTTTGAATGGTATTATATATATTTTATAAGCATGTATATATTTATCTAATAAATATTAAAATATCTATAAAATTCAATATTCAAATAAAATGTAAATCTTGGATTTTTTTATTGCATGATATTTTGACGATCATAGAACGTTTGACTTTTTCAAAAGGATTTGAAAAAAAGACCAACATTCTGATTGTTAAAAAGCTATACAATAATAGCGGTCTGAAGATTAATTTGACGAAATTGCTGAGAGGGTTTACCACTGATGAGCCAAGATCTACCATTCAATAACCTTTATCATTGTAGTAAGGTCTGTAGAGATAATATTTGATGATGTTATGTGAAAAGAAACATATTACCAAAAGTAATCATTACATATTTTATCGATAGATAGCGATTTTGGGAAAAAGATAAATCACAAGACACAAAATACAACAGATTTTACTTTTTATTTGAGAGCGCTTTCGGAATCCCCTTTTCAATATACACCTATCCCCCGATTTACACGGTAGATACGTTCCTGAGAAAAACGTGTAAATCGGGGGATAGGTGTACACAGAAATAAAAATAAAATGCATTGACAGGTTAAAATATGTAGTCAGCACATAAGCTCGGGATTCCTCGTGAGATGTGTACACAGCGCATGTGTTCAATCACAGTAGCATTTAGTATAGTGCGATAAAAACAAAAAAAAAAAAACTTATTTGAAAAACTGTGTAAAAGCGAAAACGTGTAAAACAAGTACCGTGTAAATCGGGGGATAGGTGTACTTATAATTTTTTAAAGATACTAAAATGATACTTTAGGTACTCGCTTTTGAAAGAGATTATAAATACACACATTTGTGTGCATCGGGTTTTACAATATAAAAACAACATAAGTAGGGTATGCAATATTGTAATACAAAAAAAAAAAAATATGTACACTCATGGACAAAGCTTAAGGAAAATGTATCTATTAACATGTATATCGGGATTCAGACAATAACTCTGAAAGATATTACAGTGACCTTTATTGAAGGCATACGAGATAACTACACTCATGTTCAAAACTTAAGGAAGTTGTACCTTTTAGCATGTTATCAGGATTCAGACAATAACTCTGAAAGATATTACAGTGAACTTTATTGAAGACACACGAGATAACTACACTCATGGACAAAACTTAAGAAAGTTGTACCTTTTAGCATGAATATCGGGATTGAGACAATTACTCTGAAAGATATTACAGTGAACTTTATTGAAGACACACGAGATAACTACACTCATGGACAAAACTCAAGGAAGTTGTACCTTTTAGCATGTATATCGGGATTGGGACAATAACTCTGAAAGATATTACAGTGAACTTTATTGAAGACACACGAGATAACCATGTGTGAACAGCTTCTGTTTACTTCGAAAAACAGACAACCGGAGACATCAAAGACCTTGAGAGGTTTTTACAATCAAATTTCATATTTCGTTAATGCAACGTTTATAGTACAGTAGAATCTCCCATGAGCGACCACAGCTTAAAAACATGAGACTTAAACCCGGTGTCTCCTGGTCTTTTATTTGACATTCCATCATGCCAGGACATGTCATGAAGAGTCTTTCAGTCAAAATATTCTCTGATAAAAGACTACCTCCAGGAGCGACCATGCATTTAGCCATGTTTTTAGGACTATGGTCTCTCAAGGGAGAGACTCTACTATATCTGTTTGAAATATATATGTTTAATTATTCTATTTTTTAATTCATTGAAGCATTTTTCTGGCAGACATATTCAATTTTTTTATCATCATCATTTTATTATTACTATTATTGTTTTTTTTTTTCCTTTGTTAGTTATCAAATCATTTGCAATTGTAGTTTTGTTGTGTTCCTTTTTAAGCAATAAAATATATAGAACTAAGGTGTAATATTCAATTCAAACATATGGAACCAAAATCGATTCATTTTTAAAATAAAGCAAAACCATAAACTTATACAACTTTCACTTTTTCATACAATATCTATTTCAACGCAGCATTTCCATCTTTTCTCACGTGGTCTAGTGGCTAGGATACTTGACTCTCATCCAAGAAGGCTCGGGTTCGATTCCCAGCGTGGGAATTATTTTATGGACTCGAAAATCATATACTTTGGTGAGTTTATAATACAATATAATGCGGCTTATGATTGTAGACGTTTGACAAGTTTACCGCAAATGTTTCTTTTGAACAAAAAATCGTTTTAAGGAGAATAACGATAGTATCTTAGGATTAAGTATGAAAGGATGAATTGTGAAGAGTAATGATGAACAGAAAAATAAAATAGTTCTTCTAAAATACCCATTCCAAGAGTCTATTAACAGCATCACTATAAAAGGAAGTTCCAAAAATGCAATATAACAGCGGTATGGTAGATTAAACTGGCGAAACCGCTGGGAGGGTTCACCACTGATGAGCCAGGCCCTCCCATTAATTTTTTCATTGCAGTAAGGGCAGTAGAAATTGTTTAATATCAAAAAGAATCTTACGCCTTTAAAATAGTTTCGAATTTTGATAAAAATAAAAGTGTCCAGGGATGGGAATTTTGATTAGTATCCCGCAAAACCATATTCTTTCTCTTTACTATCAACAACGTACATCAGCGAAATTTGGACGTAGAACTTCTCAAGAAATTATACTCTAAATTGTGACAATCACTTTAGAATGAAATTTGATGATTTATTGTAAGAGTTTCATATAAGATATTCTACTGTAATTTATTATTATTTTTAAAAACTGATTACTAATTTCAATACAATATAATATATTGCGGCTTGTAATTATAAAACGACATTTGAAATACTATCCCGCATGTGTTTCTTTTCAACGCGAAAATTCAAAATTTATTTCAAGGATAAATAACGATTATTTCTAACCTTATGGATGAGATATGAAAGGATGAATTGTGAAGAGTAATAATGTATAAACGGAAAAAGAATTCCCATCCATGGACATTTTTATTTTTCCGTTTATCATTACTCTTCACAATTCACCCTTTCATACCTCATCCAAAAGGTTAGAAATAATCATTATTTCTTCTTGAAATAAATTTTGAATTTTCGTTAAAAAGAAACACATGCGGGATAGTATTTCAAATTTCGTTTTACTAATTTCAATATTCTACTATACCGCAAATTTAAATCTTGTCCAGAGACCACCTTGGGAACACCGGATGATATAAACTAATTAACATGTAGTATTCGCATAAAGTGAATGGTACAGAAATGAAAGATAAGATAATTCAGGGAAAACAACACAGCGACTTCAACCAATAATTTATTTAAGTCCGACATATAAGTGACTCTCTGTAACTCTCCTTAGGGGAATGTCGCTCTTCTCCAGAGTGACAGCCAAATCACTGAAATGTCAGGAGTTGTAATAAATTATTAGTTGATGCGACTGTGTTTTTCTCTGAATCTACTTCCAACCAACAAAAGATCTCTGGAAAGATGTCAAATATCATGTCCAGATGACCTTTCGGAGGTCCGGAGTGCAGGCTTCAAACCGCTTAGAAACAGAAGAATTCTATTCCACATTCTCTGGACATCTTATTTTGTTAGATAGTTGGTGTTCTGCGCTCCAGGAACCTGGATTTATCAACATATCATTAATACAAAGTTTTGAGTTGTTTTTATAAGGACTTCTTTACGTGATGCTATAAGTTCGGGTTACGCATATTTAGTGGTTTTGTTTTTAATATAAATATAAATCTCCATTCACAATAAGAATGTTAAATGTTATTCAAAATTGATAGCGATTGAAAACCAACGATTTAGACCATTCATCCACTGATCCCCTATCCCCACAATGACCAGCGGTCATATAAGAACACACTTACACGAGATATGACATCAGGAAATGTCCCAGAGACAACACGGCAGTAAAAGAGCACAATGCCCCACATTACTGACGGTCTAAAAATAAACAACCATATCTTTGACATCGTCACCCGGATAGATGGCTCTACCCATCAAAACAACCTTTAGTTATTGGTGTCATTTCTTTAAATGAAATTCTTTTCATTTAAGACAGCATCATGCGGAAGAGCATTGCACGATACAAATTTTTATATGTAATTTTATTGTCCTTAAAGCTTTATGTATCTAGTTTGCTTGAAAACCATTTCTGATATTCCACCTTTCAGTATTAGAGCTCTAAGAAGCGATTTGGTAGATTAAATTATCGAAACTGCAGGGAGGGTACACTACTGATGAGCCAAGCCCTACCAATATTTTTTTTCATCGCAGTAAGGACAGTAGAAGTTTGTTTTGTGTGTAAGTAGTCTTGGGAGTAGACTAAGGTCAATGACACAATTGAAGATGATGTGGTGGTGTCTTGTCCATTGCTCCATAGAAAGGTGAGGGTGCCATTGCCCCGTTAGTCAGCCACATTTTAGAGTTCCCTGTTCACGGTTACCGTAGCGGCTTGGGGCTCACGACACCATACTACAGGGCAGTCCTTTACTTGTGCTGCTTCTTCCCACGTAGAGGAAGACTTCTGGACGGGATTGAAGATGATTGGCCAGACAAATGATTATCATACAAATCTGTGGGACATGGAAGAATGAGGAGAGAGAGAGAAAAACACACACTCGCTAATCAGTCACGTGATGTAATCTCGACACCAAGCAGGGAGGGCAAACAATACTCGCGATAGCAGGGAATTGGCAGCGCCAACTGTTGGCACAGCGATCTGTTGATTGGTACAGCTGGTTGCTGAACACCTGTGTGGGTGTGTACGGAACGTAGACTGCTGGGCTCTGTCAACCCCTATAGACAGACTGTTCCAAAATGTTCTTGACCATCTCACAGGTTGTCCACACTTGGTTATCTCGTGTGTCTTCAATAAAGTTCACTGTAATATCTTTCAGAGTTATTGTCTGAATCCCGATATACATGCTGAAAGGTACAACTTCCTTAAGTTTTGTCCATGAGTGTAGTTATCTCGTGTATCTTCAATAAAGGTCACTGTAATATATTTCAGAGTTATTGTCTGAATCCCGATATACATGCTAAAAAGTACAACTTCCTCAAGTTTTGTTCATGAGTGTAGTTATCTCGTGTGTCTTCAATAAAGGTCACTGTAATATCTTTCAGAGTTATTGTCTGAATCCCGATATACATGCTAAAAGGTACAACTTCCTTAAGTTTTGTCCATGAGTGTAGTTATCTCGTGTATCTTCAATAAAGGTCACTGTAATATCTTTCAAGAGTTATTGTCTGAATCTCGATATGCATGCTAAAAGGTACAAGTTATTTAAGTTTTGTTCATGAGTGTAGTTATCTCGTATGTCTTCAATAAAGGTCACTGTAATATCTTTCAAGAGTTATTGTCTGAATCTCGATATGCATGCTAAAAGGTACAAGTTATTTAAGTTTTGTTCATGAGTGTAGTTATCTCGTATGTCTTCAATAAAGGTCACTGTAATATCTTTCAGAGTTATTGTCTGAATCCCGATATACATGCTAAAAGGTACAACTTCCTCAAGTTTTGTTCATGAGTGTACAGTTAATTAATGTAAATCAATATTACAAGACATATTATTTCACTTTGATATAGTAAAGTACCTTTAGGGACACACTCTGTATTTAAATGAACCAATACCTTTATTAAGACCTTTAGTCTCATATACATATTCTCTTGAGAGATACAGCAAAGGAAGTGTTAAAAAGGAGAGTGTAAGAAATTCAAATTTACAAAGGTATATGGTACATATGTCAATACATTCTGAGAAAACCCAAACATTGCCTGGATCTTGCAAATTATATTTGCATATTTTGTTGCATTAATTCTGTCTAAATCATATCCATTGTTGTAAATGCAAAATATTTTTCAATCACCAAGAATGTGGCGTGTACCAGATTTCAAGTTGCATAACAAATGACGGTGCAAAAATGTATAATGTCAGAGGGACATATGCAAATTCATCTTTCTGTACTTTTGAAAGAACATCGTAAAACTTCCAGTAGTTGAAAGAACGTTTGCATAATGTAGCGAGCGTTTATATATATAGTGTGTGGGAGTTCTATCTAGCAACACGGAAGTGGAATGGTTTATTAATAGTTAAACTCGTCGGAGCTTTCGGAATGTTGTCTTCTTCAAATATCCGGAAGAAAACTTATTTACATATTGGCTCGTCTAGAAATCGTAAAATTTTATATAATGACTTTGAATTGTTTACATTTCAGAGCTTCTACCAAGCTGAATCTTATCGAAAATAAACAAAATTGTATTTAAAACCAAGATTTTTAAGACGTTAGATAGAATTTGATATTTTAATTATATTTAAAACTAAATACAGTAATAAATAGCTATTTAATTGTTCCTTAGTAATTCATTTCTTTTCATATGCCCATGAGTAATGATTTTCTTGTTCCCTTTATCTCTTCACCTACACTTCGACAATTAACATATGCACCAATACCTCGCTTTGCGTCGTTTCGTTTTGCGTTTTTTTCGAAGTTGCGTCGCTGCTTAATTTTTACTGATTTTCACTGTGCGTCGTTAGATTTTCGAAGTTGCGTTGTTGTTTTGGATTCGAGTCTTTAATTTTTTTTTTTTTATTTTTTTTTTTCCTAAAATATGGCAACACCTTTGTTTTTGATTGCGCCTTCACATATTTTCACTTTGCGTCGTTTCAATTTGCGTCGTGTTTTTGGAACATAACCCCGACGCAAAGCGAGGTATGGGTGTATTTTATCTTGTCAATACATGCAAAAGTGCACAGTCTGCAACTGTAGAATTTTTTTTTCTTTTGATATATTTTGCAATTATTTTTGGCATTATGTTTCTTATGATGTATTATAAAACATAATCTCTACAGACCTTACTGCAATGATGGGAATTATTAGATAAGAGGGCTTGGATCATCAGTACTTAACCCTCTCAGCTGTTTCGCTAAATTATTGTTTCAGACTGTTCTACTATTGTATTGGATTATCTACTAAAACCCCCTCGTATAATAATAATAAGCAACAACAACAAGAATTAGAAGCCTTTATTAAGGACACGTGGCCATACAGGATTCTTCTAGATTGGTACACAGAAGTAGATAAACATAAACAGAAAGTGGAGATTAAGATC